ATAATTAAGAGAAACATAGATAAACAATATAAAAATATAATTATATAAGTATAGTAAAGGAAATAAAAAGCATAAATAAGATATTAATGAAAGAAAAATTTAAGCATTACAAAAATATAAAGAGATAGAGCAAAAACATGATCTTGATCTGAAAATCAAGATGTCTAAATGCATGACAAATGACTCCTTTTATAAACCAAATTTTAGAACTATTGATTTGATGACTAATTGTTGAGTGGATGGTTACCTCTTGATTTGATAACAATTTTTATCTTCTTTTCTTCAGACAATATTATTGTTAACATTAGAATTTGAACATATAATTTTCATAAAAGTTCTGGGATATTGTCTCAGCTTTCCAACAAAATAAGAATGAGGTTATTTGGACATTTAAAACTCAAAATATGACTGAACACTAAACAATGTTCAGATTGTAGGACATATTTTAACTTCTCTGTTGTTGCTACAATTTGAACTTGAAAACAATCATTTTGAATCTTGGACTCTTATGAAAATTATATATCTGTCTCTTAGCTTTCTATTCATATAAACTAGACTTAAATCTAAGTTCTACAACTCCAATTATGATCCAATAACCTAATGGTGCTCCAATTTGAATTCAACTAGCATCTATTTTCTAAACTTAGCTCTCTCTATCTTTTCAATTTCAATAGTTAAACTCATTAATTAATCATTTGATATATGTAATAAGTCTACATTTAAAATAAATATTTACCATAAATTAAAGGTGACTTATATTATCAAACTTGTTATTATAAAATATATTGTAGTTAAGGAGTTATTGATACTCCAAGTGCAAAATGATGATATAAAATTTTAATAAAAATATACTTTTAAGTGCTAATTAGAAACCAAAATGAATCTTTGATGAAATTAAAAATTCATTTGCACCTTTGAAGGACCTTTATGTGAAGCACAATGCAAATTCAAAGTTAATTTAAGTGTATATCAAACAAATTTGCATAAAACATTAGTTTGAAGACTTAATTAGACTTTTAATAGGTTGGTTTAATTTAACCATGAGTCTAATTAAAGATTTAATTAAGTTTAAAAAGTAATTTGTTCTAAAATTAAAATAATTAATTAAGTGCAAGGATTTTATTAGACTTTTAATTGGTCAAATAAATTCTATTAAAGATTTAATTGGTGAAAAATCAAATTTGAAAGCCTAAGTTAGGCTTAATTGAGAAGATTAAAATTTTGAAGGATTAAATTTAACTTTTACAAGCTTAATAAGATGAAATCAAGGGTGAGATTGCAAGAAAATCAAAGTTTGAGGCTTAATTAAAGGCTAAGTTTAAAAAATTCAAGACTAAAGACCTCTCTACAAAAGGCCCACATATTTAAGGACTAAATTTGGTTTAAAATAGGGGTGAATATGAAGAAATTAGAAGTTTGAAGTTTCATTAGAGACAAAATTAAAAATATCCAAGCTAGGGACAATATTGAAAAAGCGCTAAAAAATTAAATTAATTCTTATAATCAGAATCAATTCAAAAAATTGAAATATAAAATTATAAAAATGAAAATTCAAACCCTAATTAACATAAGGTTACCAAAATGATTTTGTTTCATTTAAATGAAAAGGTGTGTTTTGACCAAAATGATTTATTTTATTCAAAATGATATCGTTCTGTGTAATTCTAGACAAAATAATATAAAATAATATAAAATAAAAATTTTTATTTTGAAAAATCAATTTCATCTATGTAAAGACATATTAATAATCATAAAGGAAGAATAATAATTGAAAAATAAACTAAAAAAATATTTTTAAAAAAGAAATGTTAAGAAAATGTATTAATTAAAATAAAAACCAAAATTAAAATTAAAAAATAGGAAAAAGAAAATGATAGTCTAAGTGATGCAAATGCATTAAAAAATAAGAAAAACAAATGACTTGGTCACAGCCTCAATTAGATTTAACAAATTGGTTTTATTTTAATTAGATGGTAAAAAATAGATAAGCATAGTAAGAAATAAATTTTTTATAAAACTCAAATACCATGATTACTTGGAAAAAAACTATTGGAAATATGAAATTGGATAAAAAATGAACAAAAAAAATACTTGGCTCGAGTCAGCCCGAGTTAGTATGATAAACATGTAACCTAAGTAATAAAAAATGAGTTAACTCTGGTTAACCCATAAAACTAATGATTCAAGTTATGAGAACCAAATAATTCAATAAAAAAGAAATTGAAGGAAAGTACAAAGCTAATCTTTTTTTAAAAAAATAATAATGTTGAACAATGAAATAGAAAAAAAAAAAGCAACAAAAAAAGAATGTTGACCCGCGTTAACATGTCAAATCTATGACTTAGGTCATTAGATTAAAAGCACCATGAATGAAAAAACTGTGAAGTACAATTCTCAATAATCAAACGCTAAAAAATAAAATTGAGAAAAAAATCAAATACCGAAAATTATCTATAAAAAAGTTATAATTAAAAAAATGAAGGTGAAACCAAAATAAGAAATAAATTAGAGGGCAACCTAAATTTTTTTATTTGAGAGTTAAATTGAAAAACAAAACTTTAACAAAAGGAAAAAAACCAAAATGATGAAGACCAAATTGAAAAAAATAATACAACATGAACATAAACTTTTATGGAAGGAACAAAGACAAATAATTAAGAAAATAATATGGAACAAATTGGTAAAAATAATATATAAAAAAATATAATTAAATGACTAAATTGAGAACAAATAAAACTTTTATAAAAAGATCAATAATTAACATTAGAAATAAAAAAATAAGAATTAAAATAAAAATACTAAAAATAAAAAGGACTAACTAGTACATTGTAAGGGGAGAGAAAAAAAATGTAAAGGTCTATCAATGACAAATTACTCTATCTCTATTGATATGCACCACATGAAAAGAAAAAGGACATGAAAATGCTTTCAACAATACTATGGAATGATAAGTTTGACTACTAGAAAGGGCTATAAGCATCACCCAAAATGTGCTAGCAACTTCCATCGATTAGAATTATTTTTGAATATTTATATTAATTATTTAAAATAAAAAAACTAAAATACCCTCCATTAATTTAGAATTGACAATAAAACCACTTTGAAATGATAAAAAAGTACATAGGCATTTGACTTACTTTTTCTTAAATCAAAGGGCAAAATTGTATTTTTAAAGTATTTTAATACATAATTGATCAACAATTCTATTTTTTTTTTAATTGAAGGGAAATTTAGTTATTTTATTATTTAAAAAAATACATATATCCATGAACAATCAATTGATAACTAATAAGTCAAACCCAAGTTTATTCACTAAATTTTTTTATTTAAATCAATAAAATATAAATTCATACCCTAAAAAATCATTACTTAAAAAGCAAACACAAATAAAGCTGATTGAATAAACATACACTCTAAACAAATATTACACAAGGCCTAGCATATTAATAATATTATTTAAAAATAAATATTTTTGATTTTCAAAAATAAGTTCATTTGTATAAAAAAACCCTAGATGTATTAGAATAATATTTTGAAAAATCAAACACAAATAAAATAATATTTTTTTTCAAAATAATAATGCAGAATGTTAAGATCACACATATCTAAATCCTTTACATATCAAATTTCTAAAGGTGAATCAAGAAAAAAAATAAATTACATAAAAGGATCTAAAAAAAATGAGGGTGAAAAAAAATTTAATTGGAGGCTTAAATTGAATTAAAAATAGCTTTAATAAAAAAAATTAAAAAATGAGTATTAAATTAAAAAAATAAAACTAGAAAAACTTTGATTGAATGATGAAATTGAAATAAAAAAAAAAGCTTCAACAAAAGGCTCTAGATAAAAATGGACCAAAATAAAAAACAAAACATATGAGAAATTATAATGGAAGGACTAAATTAAAAAAAATCTATAAAAAAAATAAAAACAAATAAAAAATTAAAAGAATAAGAACTGAAATTGAAAACAAAACATATGAGAAATTGTAAATAATGAACTAAATTAAAAAAAATCTATAAAAGGAATAAGACTGAAATAAAAAATTAAAGGAATGAGGATTAAAATTAAAAAAACAAAAATATAAAAAATATAATGACATATTTTATTTGTAAGAAAGAAAAAAAAAGACAAATGACTACTTATGATAATTCAACGACTATAATCTATCATGTACCACATTAATATGGAAGAAGACATGATTTTGCATTGTATAAATAATATATACCTTACTTGCTTACTTTTTTTTTTTTTAAATTAACGTGGGTGTCCGGGCCAGCTTGCGCGCACCACGACTAAAATATGTCATTATCTTTTTTATTTTATTTTTTAAGGTTAAAGGCATACTTTTATTAAATATTACACAAAATACCAATATAACAGTACAAAATTACTCCAAATGCAAAACTTTTTTATTTTATTTTTTAAGGTTAAAGGCATACTTTTATTGCTTACAAATAAAAAAAAGATAAAAAAAAAAAACCCTTGTCCATTAACCCAACAACAATTTTTTAATCTGGAGATAAAGAAATAGTTTTACTGTTTAGGGAATTATAAAAAGTAATTTTTTTTTTTTTTGCCAATAATTCTAAAATTTATTGAGTATAGAGTAAGAGAATATTTTAATAATGTAATAAAAAAAATACATATATCTTCAAATAATTTTCTAATAATCAATGAATAAGTGGAAAAGATCAAAGAACCCAAGCACCAATGCTTATATTTTTCAACTCAAGAACAAATAAATAAATTTATTGCAGTAATATCTAACTTGCGTACATTAACACTCTCTAAGCGGTTTGTTAATTAATACAATTATCTTTAGATGGGACATAGATCAGCAAGCATTAGTTAGGAACTGGCAGTTTTTAAGTCTATTTTGTGGTAGAAAACGGTGGTGGGGTTTGTTTTTTAATTCCCACTTTAATTTCTTTTCAAGTGAAAAAAAAAAAAAAGTATTGCTCTTCGTTCTTAGTGTACACCAAGTCTCAATATATGCTCCCATGAATTTCCTCATAACTTTTAAAACCCAGTTCTTAATTTAATACTCCAAATACAGTGCTAAAAGATTTTTCCTGAGATCTAGCTGAATGAAAGAAAATGTTTAACACTACTTTACTGGGACTATTTATTTCCCATCAGAAAGTCCAGTCATTTTCTGTGAAATATGTGATGGGATCATAAGCTATTGAATCTTCATCCAACATGAAATTGCCACCATCAAACTTGCTGCCATGAAGCGAGGAGGTGGAATCAAGGTGACGGACGTTCATCAGAAAGCCCAACAACTGGTTTCTTTGTTCTTGCAGCTGAACAACTTGAGCTCTCATGGATTCCACCTGCATCTTGAGTTCTTCAACCATCCTTTGCAGGTGGAATATTGTTCCAGCACTTCCATATACAGGGTCTCTGAGCCTTGATCTTGCTTCATAGATGATTGCTTTAACAGCATCTTCTTTTTTTGATTCCTCCACCATCTGGACAGAAAAAAACACGAAGATATATATATATATATTGTGTACTTCACTTAGATGACCATGAATTCGTGATGCCCTAAAATAGCCTTTTAAACTTTCAAGTGTCTTAGGTACTTGCGAATGAGATGGGAGATGATTAAGCAGATTTATTTGTTTTAACCTGGTGATACCAGGTGAATTGTGATTCATCCAGTGGACTAGGCTGTAAACAGTTTATAATGAGACAAGAAGGGATGAAGAGAAACAGAAAGTTGTAACTAAAAAGAAGATCAAAATAAAGAAGTTTCCTCTAGGAAACTTAAACTGATGAGAATAACAAGTAATTTCATGACGAGACTACTTACAAAACTGCAGAACTAAGCTAGCGAGTGACAAGTATATGTGATGTTCAACCTGAATCATTCTGATAACATTGCTGGCACCAAACACCTTATGAACCCCAAAAAATTTCTCAGCTTCATCACCTGGAAAATATGGGGCGAGTATGCAATTGCTGTCGCATCTCCTTCGTAGCATTCTACAAGCAGCACATGGTTGGTGAGCCCTGTTTCGTGACAGTGCTTGAGAACTCATATTAATTTAGAGAGTGCAAACTTCGTAGGCAAGGCAGGTTCTACAAGCAGGTGTGTGTGTGTGTGTCTCTCTCTATGCATATTTATAAGAGGAGAAGACTAGAGAATTAGCTAATTAACTTGCAAAGAAGTTGATAAGAACGGATTGTTATTTTGTTAGGATGCTATATTTCAAAGGTTTAATGCGAGAAATTAAGATACAGGGAGGCGGCCAGTTCGAGCTTGAGGACAGGTTTATGACGACGAAACGTTGAAAACTGTGGTATCTAACTGTTGGGACAGCAGACCTAACAACAGTACTAAACCAAGTAAATTGGGATCTTCCCACACAAACTTTTGATGATTTTAGCTTAGTCTCTGCCCGTCAAAGTAATCACCCACCTTCAAACTTAACTGCTGCTCCTCATTCGATGGTGTAGAAAATATGCTGAAGGAACTGTCAAGCAAGCTTATCTGCTAATTTTCTCCCACCTCTGTTACCATGTACGACTATGGCGTGGAAAAATATCAACCAACTTTGATTTTCTCGACATCTTCATATCAGTTATTCAAATATCACGTTTTTTTCTTTTATCAAGTCTCTCCTTGACCGCAACTAGACTGCAAGTTGTGTACGGAAGCTCCCTCAGTCCACAATTATGATGCTATTTTATTTCTATCAGTGCCAGTCCGACTCACTCATGAGTTGCCTTTGTTGATAGGACTAGGTCCATTGCGCACAGCTTGTTTTCTGCAGCACATGGGCTGGACCCGCTCGGCATTCCAATCTTACAGGAGTAGAAAGCACAAAACCTTGGGACAATAAACATCTTTGTTATAAACGTTAAATCCAGGGGAGACAACAATCCCAGACCAGACATACCCCTGACCCTGGTGTGTCTGAAGATATTCATTCATACAAATTCTCCTGTTATCACATTATTCTGGATATAAAAGTTAAATCCATCTTGAACACCTATTTTAACTATAGTTATTAAACCCAATTTAAAAATTGACCACCAACCAAAAAACCAAATTTCAAGTTTAATGAGTCAACCCTGATTAACTTTAAGTTAGCTCAGATGAACCTGAAAAAATTTAAAAAAATAAAATTTTAATATTTTATATAAAAAAATTAAGAAAAAAATCTATGTAAATATAAGTTATATATACATATTATAAATAATGAAATTTAAAAGAATATTTTAAAATTTTTTTATCTTATATTAAAAAGATATTATGTTAAGCTTTTAAATTGAAATATTAATTTAAACTAAAATTTTTTTATCTCACGTTAAAAAAACATAATTTTTTTTTAAAAAATATAGAGTAGATATACTAATTAGTTTCAAATCCCATATTAAAAAAAGATAATTTTTTTTTTGGAAACATAAAATATATATACTAATGAGTTTTTTTTTTATGAACATAATATATATATATATATATATATATATATATATTAATGGATTTCAAATCCCACACTAAAAAAAAATAACTTTTTTATTGAGAATATAAAGTAATATATACTAATGAGTTTCAAATCCCATATTAAAAAAAACATAATTTTTTTTGGAAACATAGAGTATATATATTAATATTATTCTTTTACATTAAAATATTTAAACTAAAATATTTTTTATCTTACATTGAAAAAGTATAACTTTTTTTCTTAGGAACATAAAATATGTATATTGATTGGTTTTGAATCCTACATTAAAAACAAAAGATCTCACCTCGATCACCCAAGTTACTAAGGTTATGGGGTCTGCTGGGTCATTATACTGACTGATCTTTTAATAAATCTAGACCGGTCTAGCTCCTGGGTTAACCAAAACTCAAATCCATCTAGATTTAATAAATATAATTTTAACATTCAAAACTTCAACCGTCAAGATAAACATTAATAAAATTGTATTTAATCCACCTTAAACACCTATTTTAACATCTTTCTCCTAACCAAAAACTCAAAACTCGCATTTCAAAACCTTTCTTGATGCTCTCACGAACAAATTAGACATTTCCAAAATAGAAAGGATTTCATAATTGTAAAACTTCAACAGTCAAGATAAACATGAAGAAAATTGTATTCAATCCACCTTAAACACCTATTTTAACATCTTTCTTCAAACCAAAAACTCAAAACTCGCATTTCAAAACCTTTCTTGGATGCTCTCACGAACAAATTAGACTTTTCCAAAAGAGAAAGGATTTCATAATTGTACAACTCCAGTCAACAAATTAGACAGTCAATTCTTTCCAAAAGAGAAAGGATTTCCATCAATGCGACTCTTGTTGCTTAGGAGTGTCTAATCTAAACAAAGATTCTGCTTTATAAATTCATGCCACAACAAAGCCTCGTATCAAGCTCCAAGCACCATAATAAATGTCATTAGCGGTAGAATTCTCATGCCTACAAATTTTCAGTCACCTTGTAATTTAGGTGATCGGAAAAAACAAAACAGATCTGGCTCCAACTTCATTAATCGACAGTCAAACCATTATGGATTGTAACTTAAGGAGTCATGTAAGAAGTTTATGAACCTTCTGAATTTCAAGAAATGGCTTGCCAGGCAGCTCTTTAATATTTCTTTCATTCAAACTTTCTACTTAGTTGAAGAAGAAATAGCTTTCACAATATTTCAAAAGAAACAAATCTAAATCATAGACATCATATGTGTTTGCTAGACCAACCTTAAAGTCCTAACTCTATTCTAGAAGTACAATGCCTTACTCCTTGTAATTCCTTCTTGTATATAAATGCCACAGAGTTACACTTGATTGGTACACTGTGTAACTCAATCCTTCCTCAAGTTATGTACAAGCAAGATGTAGAAGGAACCTTAAGAATACTCGATTGATCCTTGTTTAAAAGAGTTAGACTATTGCCTCGTTCATTGCCCACCTAACGATAAGTCATCCTAAAATGCCTATCATCTATCTGGAAGAACCATAAATTTAATTTGGGATGAACGTTGAGGAAAAGATGGAAAGCTATTCAAGTCATTTCTCAAATGAAGGGCGACCAATTAGAAATTAATATCTACATCATACACACAAATCCACAAGCAAGTACCATTTGAAGTTTTTTTTTCTTAGTCTTTTAAGGAATATAATTCAAGTAGTCATCCACTTCAAGCATTTAAAACAAAGGAGATGCAACACAGAAACATCTGTAATGTGCGTGCAGATGCATTTCTATCATATAGACAAAAAAAGAAAAAAAGAAAAAAAACTGCTATTAGTCCACCAAAAAAGGCACAATAAGGCGAGCAGATTTAACATCGACATGTAGATGATGCTCTATATTCTGCCGAATTCTGACCGCTTTCTTCCGGATGATTTTACAATTAGAAAATGCTTGAGCAAGTTTTAGCAAAACGGGCCATAGAAAGTGCAAAAACCAGATTTCATTAAAGCTACGTTGTGAGTTCAGCATAACATCGTATGATAGTACAAACATATGATATTTTCTAGTACTTCCCTTTAAATTGCTCAATAAACTAATATAGACCTCACCAGTTACAACCGTGGAACTCAAAATGCCATAAACTCAATCATCAGATGACGGAACAGAATCGGTACTTTTGAAGTGATGCATCTCAGCAAATTTCAAGCACAGTGCACGGTCTCTCTCATCTCCCCAGCCACCCCAGCCCTTGAAACCAGCTTTATACCCTGGCTGATTCTCAAAGAACCGCACTTCCCATTTTGAATTGATGTTGACTACCTTATCCACATCTTCTACAGCAATATTCACTGCACCATTATCAATGCAAGCACCTTTATCCCCATGACCCTGATGCAAACCACACTTGCCAAAATGAACTGCGCTAGTTTTTGGCCCTCGTAGCGTGTAAACAGGACGGCCAAAAGAAGGATAGACTGTTGCCCACATTGTTATATCCCAATTGTATTCATCAAACAAGCAAAATTCTCTGGCCTTTGTATGAATTTTTCTCCAAACTGTCCGGTTAAAGGAGTATCCAACATTTCCCATCCGCTCAGCAATTAAACTATCTGAATTTTCTCCTCTTGAATTCACATCAGAAGGTGCTAAATTTGCAGCATAACAATCTGGACATATCTTAGGCTTCAAAGTAGCTAGTTTCTGCAAGTTGCGGTATGCATTAGGAAAAATGAAGTGATCCTCCTCTATGAAAAGAATATGGCCAGTATGCCCCTCTGTCTCCTTTAGCCCATCCCATACTGTATTCATCATCCACCACCAATGATGCTTTAAGGACACTATCTTTGGTGATCGGTGGTTCCCATATTGATCAGGATTCCCAACACAATGTTTCTTTGCTGCATCATCCTTATCCTTACAGTCATTGGGGGAAACACCGGGGAAACTATCAGGAAAAACATGGGGTGAATACGGGGCAAATATCTGCTTCACTTGGCAAAATTTGATACCCTCCACGATCTTGTTCATTTCTTCAAAGTACCCATCATGGCTAACAATAAGTAGAGTCTCACTTATCCCCACTACCTTTGACAAGCTCTCCACAACCACTTTGAGATACTGGGGCCTATTATGAACATATAGGACAATGGTTATATGATTCTTAGCTAACTTCGGATATAGATCTGTATTCCTCGGACGCAACTGGTTAAGCTTTTCCAATTGAATTGATAACCCACTCTGTTTGGGGAGATTGAGAATTAATCTATAATCTGAATAGTTATTATACCTAGGTCTCAAATCCTTAACCGATGATTCATTCGGAGACCGTGACACAAAATTGGACACTGAATTTGTTCGAAGCAGAACAACCAGCAGCAAAACCCCTACCAAAGTAACGAAAACTAGAGATAAAAATCTGCGATAAGCCCCAGCTTTGGGGCGGGGATTCTTACAATTTGCAGCCATAATGCAATCACAACATATCAACTACATCTATCTCATTACAGCTACAACATCTCTAAGATAGCTACGTACCATGTAGAGAAGAAAGATCAAAACTTGAAGCTCAAACAGAATGGGAACAGATAGATAAACTGAAGTAAACGGCAAGCAGGTGTCAAAAACCTCAAAAATAGTCTTCAACGCTGAGATTGAAGCATAGAGAGCTCCTTATGCTTCTTCTGGAGATCAAATCAACACAAATTAGTGATCAAAACGAGAAAGACCCATGCGTAAAACCAGAGAGAAAAAGGAACCCTTTAAGGGTTCATAGTGAAATGAAAAAGGTATAAGCAGATCAAAAAACAGAGACCCAGTATAGATAAGGAGATGTCGATTGGTTCAAAGGAAAAATGTGTTTTGAGATCAAAGGCTTAGGAAGTACATTTTGCTTCAAAGGAAGACTTTTAGGGGTTGGTTTTGGAGGTGGGGGTGGGAGTTTTTCTTGGTGATCAGGGACTTTTCAAGCTGGAATCAAAGAATCGGAAATTACAAGGCAAGTCTTAGAATAGACACTTGGGAAGTTAGAACCAAAGTCTTGTTCTTCGTATGTTTATTTATTTTTTATTTATGACTGAAAACTGTTAAAAGACTTGAGAAAAAAAATACAACTCCATGATAAAGTTGAGCTGCTAATAAATATGTTTTTTTTTTAATCACAATATCTATACAAGATTTATAAATCTGTTTCTTTGAAAGCTTCTTGCACAAATAAATCTATTTATTGATAATAATAAATAAATTATGCAAATAAAAGTTTTTATTTTTAAGTAATATAGATATTTCAGCTTCCTTATAAGTAATTTAGCTGATTTTATAAATTTTAAAATTAATAATAATATAAATCTCTACTAATTTTAAAAATACTTAAAATTATAATTTATTATTTAGGAGCAAAGAAGAATAGAAGTTTTGTTTTATGCGTTATTAATTTTTAGTATAATAATGAATAATATAGTATTTATAATCCTTTTATTTGAGTCTTTTTTATTACATGGAAGTGAAATGAAATTAACGTTATAGATAGG